GAACATTGATTTTTTTTAAATAAACAATTTATTAAATAAACATTATATCTCAGTGTTGCATTAATTTACCCCTCTTAGTCTACACTTTGTATTCCTTTATTAAATATTTTTTATTTGCTCATTTTATCGTCCAACTGGGAATTCAACTTATTTTGTTCTAAATCTAAAAAAGTTTTGCAAGGGGAAAAAAAATCACATAATATCAAATTCATCATCTTATCCATTTTAAATGCAGTTTGGTGGCATTCGTTGTTCTTATACTCTTGCACAACAGAACTGAAACCCTAAGCATGCTAAACAGAGCCTCTGCCTTCCTCCCAGGCCCTGGGATTCACCTTTCGTCTTTACCCTTCTCTGTGTCAGGGGTATTAACTTTTGGTTGACATGTCACATGGATTCTTACCAGTTTGCTCTTTGTCTTCTAATTTTGCAGGTTGTATTTGGGGAGGGGAAGGACTCAGGGAGTTTTGCCCATTTATTTAAAAATCTTAAGTACTAGGAATGGAACCAGCACTTTGTATTTGCTAAGCAAGTGCTTTATAGTTAAAATATACTATCAGCCTCTCACTGGTAGATTCTAGGCAGAAACGGAGTCACGTCCCCAGCCCCTCACTGAGGGATTCTAGACAGGTACTCTACCACTGAGTCACACCCACAGCTGGCCCCTTACTGGGTGATTCTAGGCAGGTGTTCTACCACTAAACCATGCCCTTAGCCCTTGTTTAAATTTTAATGTAGTCAAATCTATAGGTCTTTTCCATAATTAAAATCTCTCATCTCCCCCCAATTAGAGGGAAACACATACCCACTTTATTTGTTCTTACAAGGCCTCTGAATAACATAATACCAAACATAGTACACTTGGGTAAGCAGAGCAACAGTTCTCAAAAACACAGTGCTGACAGCAGATAACAGCATAACACCTTCCTACAATGAAGGCACGAAAACAATGTAGGGCAAAGTTCACCACCTCCCCCTTTCTCTGTGGCTGAGTAATTACATGGCTAAGTAAGCTTTGAAATGAAAAAAGTCCTCATGTCCAGGGCTTTGAAAGCTTTTATATTCTCTTAATCCAATCATGAACTTCTATGATTTTAATTTTTCTGTCCATGAAATCATGCTTTGCTATGTTGTAGGTAAAGTGCATCTCCATTCTCGGGAAGGAAAATTCTAAGAAAGATACTTAGACTAGCCATCTTTCTGTTAGGAGCCCAGTTGTGACCACATAGCAGGATCTGAATGTAAGGAGCACCATTTGCATTTCTGGATTGCTCCTTGTGACAGCTGGTCTAGGGAGAATGATTGCCAGCCTCATCAGTGTCTCCAGAATTTGAGCTGAGGAGAGTTTTTTAGCTTATTCCAGGTTTCAGAGCCAGAGGCTAGCATGCTCTTCCGCAGCATTAAGGCCCTGACAGTGAGTCTTTAAAAGTGTTCTTTCCAAAACACAACAAATGTTTTTTGTTGTTTTTTTTTTTTTTCCCATTCCTTTTGTGAAGAGACCTATTGGGATGTTGCAATTGAGGCTGTAAATTCAGGAAATGGAAGAAGAGGATGACTCACCCTTCTCGGGATTGAAGGAACTCCCCTCCTTCCCTCCATCCAATGCCTAGTGAGGTTCTCCTTTTACTTCTGCCTCAGCTCCACTTGCTAAATTCTAATAACGATTATCATTGATCTGGGATTGCAGATAAAACTTGGCCTGGAGATAAAATCCAGGCAGACAGTGTCTCACCCTTGATAATAATCAGAAGAGAATTCTTACCCTAAGGAGCCTTGGTAAAGGTGGTATCTCATGGTAGTTACAGAGACATAGAGTAGAGATATGTCTGCCAGTCTTGAAGATACTGGGAAGGCCACAGGGTTTTAAAGCAAGGAATCAAGAGTACCAGGTGCTCTCCTTTATGAACTGCAACTTGACAACACAGTCTGACTTTTACTCAAGCACGACAACCACAGGAGTATGAGTACATCTCAGAACCCTGTCTTCCTAGCCCATCTGCCGTGCCACCTCCTCACAAGGGTCTTCCCCCATCCTCACGGCCAGACAGGTTCTCTGTTGACTCTGCCTTTTCTTTGCAGAGGAACAGTGAGCAGGCTGCTGCTTTTACTGGTTGAGAGCCTGCTACTGGGAGCTACAATCCGAAGCAGTCACAC